ACTCTTTAAAAATTTTTCATCTAGTCTTAATAAATATCATAGAAGTGTCTTGAATCACTTACCTTTGTCACATAACTGCAGTGGGTATAAAATCAGAAGAGAAACATAAGCCAGGACAGAAGATTTTTGCTGTGAGAACCAACTTGGTTTTTGGGAGGACCAACCCATCTTGAAGTTAACTAGTTGTTTACCACCACTTTCAGTGAGAGTAGTAGGTTTGCCTTCAGGTCAGATATTTTGTGTAGGTCAGATGGTGATCACGCATCAGAACTCATAACCGAGTTGTGTGGAAAAGATAGTTCCCTCACTGAAAATTCATCTAATACTGGGACCAAAATAGAGAAGTGATGGCTTCTTCCAGTTTTGCTCATTTTGAATGCAGTGTCAGGTGAAGTTAATACAGAGGTCATTATAGAAAATAACACTTTTATAGGGATCCATTTGTGCTAGTTCTTAAACATTACATTTTTATTGTTTTAATGCAAAGTCTGAGTTGTTACATAATGTATTCAAATTAAAACTCTTTGCTGAATGATTGCCTAAGTGAAAAGAAATTCCTGGATCCTTGTCTTATTGTGGTGCACTGTTTTAGTTAGCAGATTTGCTGATGGAGAAAGCAGCAGTTATGATAAAAGGGATTATATAAAAGAGCTCCCGCTGAGAGTCCATGGCACCGTACAGGGTGATACTGAACACTGTATTCCCCAGGGCAGGTACAATAATTAGCTGCAGGACTGGCACTTGGTCTGAGGGATTAATTAGAACTGGAGGTGGTGTTGGGGGGAGGTAAAGCAGCCATAAAGAGTGTCAGGATCACTCTGGCCCAAAGCCTGTGTGATGTGATGTGAAATAGCAGCAGCTGGCTGTAACCTTAGGAAGTGCAAGTGAACAGCAGGTGGTAATTCCCGTCTCATTTACCATGTCTTCACAGGAACATGTAAGCTTGTGCAGCTTGGGTTTATTGGCAGGTCAGAAGGAAAATCCTAAGGACTGTGACATTTACTATACTAAGCAAATGCAATAGTCAAAACGGAGTGTACACAGCATAGTGTAAAACCAGTAATGCTGTTGCTTAATACTTGCCATACGACAAGGTTATAATGACCTTATAATATTGAGCTCATGGAGACCAGTGCACAAAGCTGAATATACTGTGAAAAATCGAGGAGTGCTAGTGAGAATTACATCTTTGAAGGCTGTGGTGGATGTAACCGGAGAGCTATTTCACCTAAGTAAAAAACAAGACAGAGAGAATGATATGATAATCTGGCATCCTTCAGTTTTCTCAGTAGCCATTGTATGGGGATGACTAAGCTTTATCTACATTTCCAGGCAGGTGAGCAGGACACTGCATTATGTGGTCACATGCCCTTTAGCTTCCACCAAGCATCATGTTTTGCTTGGCGTTTGGGCAAAAATTGCAGTGAAGCGTGCAACAAATGTGTTAATTTAGAGATTGTAACCATCTAGCATTTCAGGGTGAGCTTGAGTTGCTGTCAGCAGAGGAATTTAGTGGGCCAGTGGTCGCTGTTGGTCACTGTAGTGTTTTGTATTCTGTGAGGGCCTCCCAGGGTGTAGAACAAGAGGCCTTCCTATGTGCAGTTCAAGAATCAAACCAAATAAAGAGAAAATTGAGTAACTTTGATTCCATCCTTGAGAACAGCGCTAGATAGAGAAAAAATAAAACAGATCTAGGGGATAGTTGTGGCTATATTTATAGCGGAGTTACAAGAAAGGAAGAGAACTCATTTTGTGGGAAGGATAGCTCTTTTTATGCCTTTTTAGAAGTTCATTTGTGTGCCAACATTATCTTTCATGGATGCCAGAAGATGCAATGCCTTCTAAAGCCTCCCACACATGCAAAAACTATGCACCCATTATGGTTTCTTTGCTGGGTTCCATTTAATATTCGCATGTTTCTGGCTGTCTCCAAATATGCATGTAACTTATGGGGACATGATCCAGGCCCAAGCTGGCATTGCATGTCTCTGACCATTAGGTTTGAGATTCTGCCTGCTTTGGGCAAAGGAAAGAAAGCTTTATTCTACTTGGGAACAAGCTCAAAGGAGTTCGTAAGCAGCTGATGGAAGAACTGTGTTGTCCTCTTTTCTCATGTGTTGTTTATATAGGCAGAAAACTGTAGTACTGATAGCTACTCTTGAACTTGTCTGTGTGGTGTTGAGGAGCATTGAGAATGCTGGGGCTGGACTGGGAAGTGCTCTATGTAAATGTTTTTGTGTGGAGCTACACAAAACTTTCAAGCTTCCTTCATTTTTTCTCAAGGAAAAAAATTCTTTCATGGCAAACCAGTATGTTTTCTGATTAAACTCCTTTCTTAATTAATTCTCAGCTGTCCTTCATGTTCAATATTAAAGAAATCAAACCTGATAGGAGTTTTGAGTTTCCACTTTTTAAAATGTCACATTGCAAATATGCTACTTTTGGAGGTAACTGAAAAGTACTGTGCTGTAATCCTAAAGGCTGATGAGTGAAAATTAAGTTGTTAAAGGATTTTCAGTTTATCCCTTTTTTTTTTTCTTTTTTAATAAATTAGATTTAAAGTTTAATGCTTGCTCAGATTTTAGTTCTTTTGTAGGTTTCTTGTTTGTACTCATTTCCATTACATGAGTATTGTAGTTTTATCTAGAAGAGGAATGGATCATGTGCACAGCAGGGCTAATGAGTCACAGATGTAAAGATTCTGGCACACTACCATCTAATAACTTCTTTAACTTATATTCCATAGTAAGATAAATGCAAATTTGATACATCTGTTTTCTAAACGATGTATCGTTCCAGTCTTAACACTGTCTCAGGAGTGAGTTTCTTTAAATGTTTGGATTTTTAGCCTGTTTTGGTTTTGTTTTCTTTTTATTTGTTTCTAAAGAGGAGATTTCAGGTCACTGAGCAGTGCAGTTAGCCATACCACGGTTTGTCAGAACAAAGTGGAAAGGCTGGTAAAATTGCCGCTGGCTTTATGGGATCCACTTACAGGGTCTCAACTTCCTTGTCTCATGGGTGTATATCAGGAATAAAGCTGCTGAGTGCAACTCAAGAGTGCTAGTGAAGGACATGGATGCATCAGAAAGTTACTCTTAGTGCTACCAGACTATGCTTTATTCTATGTTCCTCAGCCTGATGTCTCTCAGCCATTGAATAAGCCTCTGCTTCAGACAGCGTGCTGTGCTAAAGACAAAGAGAGGACTTGGGGATTTCTTTCTTTTGGAATTCACTCCCCAACTGTATACGGTTTCAGCTTTATCAGAAGGTCTAATTTGCACCCTACAAGGCAGCACAATAAAGGTGTTGAACTGAGAGCAAAATTCACCCCTTGTATTGTCACAACAGGCCACAATTAGCACACTATTCTTTTTGTACCAGTAAAACGCAAGTTCTGCACATGCTGGTAGAGTAGAATATGAGAAACCATATGCAACGTACAGCGCTTGAGGGGAAGAATTTTGCCCTGGATATGAAAATGCTGCTATGTATGTCATGAAAATGTTGACTTTGGCCATTCTGGACTACCCAAGATCTAGTAGTAGATTGTTGTTCAGTGTTTATAATTGTGTATGTACTACCAGTTTATGTGCTGAATGTCATATGTTAAACAGAATGTGAGGAGCAGGATGTTAATTATACAAAGCGCTTCAAAATCCACCATCACTGCTGGCCAGTTCTGCAGCAATCCAGAGTCAAAGCTTTCTACGTAGCTCTCTTGAAGTGGTTTCGCAGATTTTAAGTGAAGATGGCTGTCGTCTGCTGGCTGATAGTCTAACAACTGTCAAATGATCATAACAATTTATTGTAAGTTTAAGGAAAGTCACCTCTGTGGGATTGCTCCTTCTAAAAATCTCTTGATATTCTTGTTGTAAAGTAACGACCTGCATCTGCAGTATAGTGCAAACTTATCTCTGTTTCCCATATGACAGAGAGGCTGTTTCCTGTCAGTAGGCAATGTGGGGTATACTAAACATAGTGTTCGTTCTGTTTGTCTGTTAGTAAATTGTCTCTGTGACGTTTGTGTTGTGCTGTTTTGGTACCATGTTATGCTGTGTCCCTAGGGTCTGCCAGGCTTCCCCACAGTCGCTGCTCTGCACAGTAATCAGATCCTCACCGTCAAGGTTTGTGGCTGACATGTACCTGTTCAGTCAGGTCTCTCTGTATCAGCATAAAAGTGCACATGAAAAATTGTTTTTACCATGGATACCAATGAATCCTTATGGTGGACCTAAGTCAACTCTCACTGCCCTTGCATTGGTATAAGTACTCCTGATGCAGAGCATGGGATCAAATCTATAACCGTGTATAGTGTTAGCCCTGGAAACACCCACATTCCCCATGATCTTGGTCAGTATTTTATTTTCAGATGAGATTTTTCTTTAGTTCTGCTTCCCCGAGACATACAGGAGTGTGGAAAATGTCAGTGAACTCTATCCTGGTTACATGTAGAGTCAGCTATTTCTGTTAGATATCTGAGGTTTAATCTGTATACACAGATTTTTTCAAAGAGCAGTTGCAAATTAAGCAGGAAGGATTGAAGCAATCTGGTCAAGCTGGAACTCCAGTCCTTATTAAAATGAAATCATTCTTCATGGCACAGTATGCTGGTTAGAAAATCTGACTGAAAGTTGAACTGGTGCTTTGTCTCTAGAAGCTTTGCTGAAGGAACAGTGCATAAAAATACTGATTTTTAGAGCCCAGGCAATGAAAAAATTAGTACACGTGAAGAATTCTCACAGGAAATCTGGGGAGAAAAGAGTTATGCAGTTAACTCATTGTATATGATTAATTCATAAAGCAGTATGTCTTGTACATTAGAGGTAAATTTCTTCAAAAGAAAACGCACAGTTTCTGTAAGGCATAAGCACCGGTTTATATTATTTTAGCTATTACAAATCTAATGAATATGTCTTTATTTCTTTCTCGGGTCTTCTGATGTCTATTCTTCAATTCTCTCATCTTTGATCTTCAACCTTTGACCTCACCTGCCTGATCAGATGGTGTTTCCTAAAATCAATCATGGGTTTCTCTCTGCTGATCAGCAGCTCATTAAACGCCGCCTCATTAAGGTAGTGCTTCATCTCACTGGAATCTGGTTCCTCTTTGCATTCAGTTTACTCTTTGCTGTACCTTTTTGTCAGATGCCTTCTCATAGCAGGTTGTTAATTTGAAAATATTTTGGACTGAAGCAACTATTGACGATATTAACAATTAAAAGGCTATGGGTAACTGCTAAATGATCCACATTTAGGATGCAGCCAATTTTTTTCAGCAGTTTGCAGTGGTGTGCTGGAAATTAAATAACTTGAGCACCATTTTTTGGTGTCTTTTTTTTTTTTTTTTGAAGGGGAAGTCCATATGTTTTGGCAGCTCTCGTAAAAACTAACTTTTACAAATTAATAGGTAAAAATCATTAAGAGAGTTAGCCAATTGTTACTATAAAACAGTTCCCCAAAACAGATGAAAAATTATGTACAACTTAGTGGTGAAGTTATTTCCCATGCTTATTTTTGAAATCTATCCATGCATCAATGATGGACTTGGAAAATTGCCATGCAAACTGTGTATTCTCACATACAACTTTTTTACCTCAGCTTTGTTATGATTATGTCAATCATGAAGCAAACAGCTGCTTATTGAAAACAGTTACTTGCTCTAGAGAGCTAGATGAGTAAAATATTGCAAGGCTGCCCCAAATTTTGGCATATGTTCTGTGGTAGGACAAACAGTTTAGAATTTGAACTTTCTGCTCTTTGAGTGCACTGGACAGATAAAAACCCCTGTTCTTCAAGGCAAAGTGCAGACTCTGCCATAAGCAGTGAAGAAGCCACTGTCCAGCTCATGGCAGCTTCTTCCAGCCTGTCTTGTGCTCTTTCTGGGTAAATCAATGTCTTCTTGCGTGGTTGATGTCTCTGAAGCAAACTTGTGATGAGTTTTTTGTTGGTTTAGGGGGACCAAGGACAAGCTGGACCCCCTGGGCCTCCAGGGCCACCAGGACCCAGAGGTCCCCCAGGAGATACTGGCAAAGATGGTCCTCGTGGGATGCCTGGCATACCGGTGAGTTAGTCTGTTGCTGACATGCTGTCCAAATTCCTCTCAAGTGTATGCCAGCTCAGTTTCCGAGATGTTTTCTGAGGTAAGATTGGCAAGTAAGACATGTGGAAACTGAACCACCGGCAGATTTCATGGTGTACCTGAAGTCCCAGACACAAAGAGCAAGTTTATAGCAGGGCCAAGAGTAACACCTAGGTTCCTTGCGTCCCACCCCTGACAGTTTCCCCACACATTCTAAGGTTTCTCAGTTGCTCACTGATGTTTAATAGCTGTGTGAGGAGGGTCTGCCCCTATCCACAAGTAATAAATGTTTCTACTCAGACTTCAAGATAAAGCTGAATTTGAGACGTTGTAGCATAAATGGGCTTGACTTCTTGCTTCCTAATGATTTAACTTCAAAAATCATGGAATTAAAGTAATAAACTGCTAAATTCTGCCAAAAGTATGATGAAGTTTGGAGTCAGATTCTGCCATCTTTACACAAGTAGAACAATACCATTTTCTTTGGCTCATCCCTCATATTTCACTAGAGCAACCAACAGAATCCACTATATTGCTTACTGAGTTTTTTGGGGCACAGGATCAAACCCACCACTTTTGACACTTTGTGACCTGATGATTAAACACTTTTTAAACAGATTGATGAACAAATGACTTTTTAATCAAAACATGAGTATGGTTTTGGTTTTATATTTTGTAGCCTCCTTAATTTTCATTCTTTTGAAACAAGTACCTCTCTTTTCATCATGAATGCCACTGTGTTATCAGTGTGGAAACAGAATCACAGACAGGAAGGAGACATGGCAACTGAAATGTCACATCTACAGATGCACACACATGCCCCCCACACCCCCACCCATGATAAGTAAAGATCATAGTTGAGAGGACACATAGGGAATTATCAAGATGAGGACCAGCACTGGAAACAGAAACAGGGTTTTTTTGAAGAAAAAGCATAGCTTGTTATGTGTGGCTGGGACAGGAAGGCATAAAATTTCCCTACAAGTCCTTTTTAGGTAAAACCAAGAAAGAAAATAGCTAACACTCCTTTTCTGACCATATTCAGGTTGAGTCATGTGAAATTGTATTAATTGTGCAAATATAATATAACATGATGATAGTAGTAAGACTCAGCTAAAATTTCCTGTGAAAATCCAGCAAGGCTTGCCAATTAAGACCTCTAAGGTTCCTACTGCAGTTGTTGTTTTGTTTTGTTTTTTACCACCGTTGCCCTTATAAGTTCTAGTTCAAGGTTACTGAATGACATTAAAAGTCTGTTACTTCCATTGCGATGCTTTACTTTGACTACCTACTCATTTCTTGTTAGTCCTACAAGCACATCAGGCTTTGGGCCTCATCTGGGCCCCCCTTGTGTTCTTTTAATGTGGTAAAATTGACTGCGATTAGCAGAGTTGCTTTTGGTTTGATGTAGTGAGACTGAGACTGAAACCAGAACCCATTTCTGACGGCAGTGATACCATTATTATAATTCATGTACAAGAGGCTAGCAGAATCAGCTGGTGTTGCTGATTACTACATGACTATGTGTTGCTTGGGATTTTGTGCTTTTTAGCAAAGGGAACATTAGTGCTTCTTATAACAGGAAAGTAATGCATTTTATGCAATGAGGTCATTCCATTTTATAATCGTTCTGTAGTGATTTTGACTTTAGATGGCAAGAGAGAGTTTCTTTTTATAGTTTTCTTTAAGCCGTGGCTATCTTAAGCCCTCTAGCATTATGGAAAATCTGTTCAGAATATTGCTTTAGAATCAGATACAAACAAGCAGTCAGATAGAAATCATCCAGATTGCTGACTGTTGTTACCATCTTGATCCTTGCTATTGTCCTGTATCCTCAGATTAATGTTGCTGTTCCTCAAAAGGCTTGTTCCTACATGGCTATGTAATATACAGTCAAGTAGGAGAGCTGTAAAGGGAAAACATAGCCCAGAGGTTTGTTTTTTTAAAAGGCTTGCATATGGACCTTTGAGCTAAAGAGCTGGACAACAAAATGATAGCTGTACTGTGTTGTGAGTAGGGATGTTGCAGCATCACACAACTATTAGATGTCCTTACAGTGGCCAACCACCATTACAAGATAGTCATTTCCTCTTTTGCAGTGCTGGGCAAAGCAGGGGCTTCCCTTCCCGCCTGTCCTTCTCAAGCAAGGAGATTTACAATCACCAGAGCTATAAGATGATGTTTTGGCTCTTGCTTTCCCCCGTGCCCATACACTTGCTGTGCAGCCTGAGAATGTTAGGCAGCCAAGGTAGCAAGGCACAGAGAGCAGCTCCAGCAGCCACCATTACTTCTCTTCCAAAGTGTAGCAGGGTTGAAGAACAGCCTGTGTGCCCACACGTCTCCATCTGTGCCCACACATCTCCATCTGTGCCCACACGTCTCCATCTGTGCCATTGCCACCTTGCATCCCAGAAGTGTGCATCCTGTTAGAGATACTTAAACTTTCTAGAGTTGAGAGTGTGTTGGTTTCTTGGACAGGAAATCTTTAGGGCTAAGGAGGTAGAAATGTTAGGGAAACACTGTTGGGCCAATTGCCAGCAGATAGAGCACCAAGGAAGAGTAGGGCTGTAAGAAAGGGTTGTGCGGCCTTCTGCTGAGCCTTTTTTTGGATGTCAACAGAAGAGCCTTTTGGAACCAGAACATACTTCCTTTCCTACAGGGTGTTACCTATAATAAGTGCTTTCCCTTTGCATCACACAGGCGCCAACACAAAGACTTTGAAACTTTAACACCTCCAAAAAGAAGTAAAAGAAGAACAGGGTTTTTTGCTGGTAATAAGACAGTAGAATATGATACAAACTCTTGAAATTATTTCACCATTATTTCCCAACATTTATGGGGATATCTTGATGCTCACTTCGGGCTGTGTGATTGCTGTATGCATAAGTTAACAAGGCTTCAGAGCGAGCTGAAAATTCCAACAAGCTTGGGTGATTAGCTGTCAGAAACCTGTGCCTGTGTGGTTTCTCTCTCCTGGGTATCTCAGTGTGTTTGCAGATGCTGCGTGTTTGCTTCTGAATGCAGTGCACACATAACACAGAGAAGCAGTTCTGATTCTTTTCAGTTGCCAAGAACAACATCAGAACAGTTCTCATCTTTTTTTTGGCAGGTTTTCTTTTATGACAAAGTTGCTGAAGAAGATCCTGCAGCTGTGCTGATAGAACAGCACATGGACTGCCGTACACTCTGTTGGATTTACAAGGGAGTGATCTATAAGCCAGATCACTGAAATGATAGGAACTTTCATTTTTGGATGGGTATTTTTAGTCTGTATTGTACGACTGATATGTTTTACTGTCTCTACAGACAGTTGTATGTGTTCATATGAGAAGAAATAGCAGAAGATAATTTCTCACTTTATGTAGAGCTGTGCCCACAGGAAGAGAATACATTTAAAAAAATGATGGGTTACTGTTTTGAAAGCAAATACAGGTATTTAGCAGCTGAGTAACTATTGCATGGCTTCAAAATACCAATATTCATGGTTTATGAAACATGAAGATTTGCAATGGTAAGTTATGCCTGCTGAGGTGATGACAGAGAGCAGTAATTTTGGAACATGTAAACAGTGGGATTCAGCACATATGTGAAAATAACCTTTCTCTGTGTCCCTTTAGCATCACTGACAAGAATGGAATATTATGTTTGGAACCAAGGGACAGAGTTAGGACACCAATACTTAACTGTTGCCTCAAGAACTATACCATTACATGATTGTGAAATAGTATTTTGCCTCTTAAAATGTCTGAGATTCAGCCCACTAGTTTAAAAGGCAAAAAAGTAATATATTTAACATGCAGTCAGCTGCCATACCTGTTTAAGAATGGAATTTTTAGGATACTATATTATAAGGTAGAGAACTGAATTCAAGACATGTTACTGAAATTATTCACTTTTTTTTTTTTTTTTTTCTTATTTAAGGGTGAGCCAGGAAAGCCAGGAGAACAAGGATTGACCGTAAGCACTCTTCTCTTTCCTTTTGCTAAGAAACTGTAACAGATACATGATATACATACTTTTAAAAATGTGAAATTCGAAAAAGCTTTATAGCTTCCTAAGCTTCCTTTGTCACAGACTATTTGAAGCTTCATTTGTGAAGAAAACACGTGAAAGACAACATACTCTTTTTACATACAGTTGCCTGTCATATAAGGCAAACTTTTTCTTTAAGATTAGAGAAGTAGAGGGAAATAAAACAGCTCCGGGCACAGCAAAGCCTGAAAGAGCTGAGCCAGTTGTTCCCAGTTCCCGGCCCCCACTTATCACTGTCTCTGAAGTTGAGCTGTTTCCACGTTGAGACCATTGAGCAGCACAAGAACCATCTACTTTTTTTAAGGGCCAAAATCCCAGCTGTCTCTGTGGCAATAGCTCTGGCCATTTGCCTGATGAAACAGTGAAGACACAGCACAGCATATTGAAACTCTCCGAATATTCTTCTCTCCTGAGTTTTTATTTTTTTCCTCTGTGTCTGTGAGAATGTAACAGCCAAATGAATGCATTTATTACAAATATTCAGATATGGGAGTAGATGTTTTCTTTTGCATCAGGAACTAATTAGCCCTATTCATTTGGAAGCAAATTGAAGCTCCACTTGTCGTAAATCAGCTTCAGCCACAGTGTAAGGCATCAGAAGTTCCTGCCCGTCACATATTCCCAGAACTGCAAAACATGCGGTGGTTTTTTTCCCTTAAGATCTCCCTAAACACTCATGGTCATTCTTATTTTTATAAGAGATGACAGAATTGTAACCTGTGGCATGTGGTTTTGATTCCTGAATGCTTCTGAGGCAGAAGATTATATGCTCAGCAATCAGTGCAGATATGATTGCTATCTGTTTGAATTTATGAAGTTTTAAACAGGTGTGATGATATTTTACCTTGACAAATTGCAAACAATTTTGAATTGACAAAATCCGGTATCTTTTAGAAGAAATGTCTAAGATTCTGAGACTCAGAAATACATGCTGTGTTCAGGCAGTTAAAGTCCTGTACTTTTTCATTTGGAGATAATGGTTTAACAGAACCGAAATTGAAGCCTCTCAAAGGAACCACCTAGTGTTATAGCATGCTTCTAGTCTCTGTTTTGTTCTGTCCTTTTAGTTTCTGAGGGCGTGTTAATAATAGGTGCAACAGTTGGGAAGGGAGGGTTTTTTTGTTTAGTTTTGTTTTACTTGCAATATTCTCCTATTTGACCTCTGGACAAAACTCACTCAGATTCTGTAACAGTGTCTTCCTTCTATTCAAGACCAGATCTTCAGGGTCACAGAATCCCTGGGGGCTTTTAAAGCAAAACATAGTCTGTCACCTTTTAAAGTCCATGCTCAGAAGATTCCCACTGCTCTAGAGTAACAATCTGTGTGTAAGAACTAAATAACTGCTACTGATCTGTTTCTCTAAATGCAAGTGTGTTTAAGTAGGGAGAAAAGGGGTTTTAAAAATCAAATCAGCAAGCCTGAGTTAGAGAAAGGTCCTGGATTACATGACGTTCCAGGTCCAAATACACACTCTAAAAGTCAGTCTGATGGCTTAAATGTTAGGTTGTGTATAGATCAAGTAAAGAGCATCAGAGTATGAGAGAGGTGATTAATTTCTTTTTATTATTCTTGGTGCTTCTGACATACTCTTTATGCCAGTACAGATTTCCAGACTCTCTTCCCTATGGAAAGTGCTGCAATTATTCATGTGCTGTCTAGATGCATTTCTGCACTCGGTTATCTCTCTATTTCCGTGTTAGAAATTGAGACACTACTGCAGAAATAGCTGATTTCCCAACACGTATGCTGTAAAATTGTGTTGCTAGAGAAAATAGGTATAGTTTGTTTTGGAGAACACGGGCCTTTACCTACCTGAGATTCTTTTTCTGCATTATCCATGTATTATCTTTTCAAAATGAATGAAAATTAAAATCTCTGCCCAGAGTTGCTTCTAGGTTAATTCTGCAGGAATTCTTTTGTAAGGACTTGTCTTTGTTTCACACCAAGAGTCTGGAGTCCAAGTTGGCTTCCTGATCTTTCTTCCTGATGACATTGAAATAGTGAAGTTGATGAGTCCCACAAAGTACTGCCAGTCCTGGCCTCCCAGACGTCCACGTACTGGGAAGTACAGTGTTTTCCTACTTGCCCACATGTCCAAGGCCCTTTCCAGTAACAACCAAGGACAGCACCAGATGCTGTGAAACAGCCCCTACAGTTTGGATGTACTTGCTGAAGGCTGTGGAAGCTGAAGGCTATGTGTAGCCTATAGGATCATGCTCTCAGATGCCGTTCAAGTGAAGAAGAGCTGCAAGCCTGACCTCTAGGTTATAATAATGGGGATAGACATTTTTCTCTTTCAAAAGTGTTTTTAATACCTATATTCAGTAACATGCATTGGTATTCCTAGGTCAATGTACAGTTTATTGACAGAGCTGGTAAACTCAGTTTTAACCTGTGAACCAACAATGGCACAGCTTGAAATTACTTAGTTTTCTATTTTCGCTTTTTAGAAGTAAAATAAATTTCTTGAACAGCACAAGATTACAGATAATGAGATAACAGTGTTTTCCAGCTTGTGTCTCAGAATTTACCACAAGCCTATTACACATGCTGAATAAATTCTGACCCACTCAAACAATGTGTGCCTTGATTCACAAAAAGTTGAAATAAATTTCATGCATTTGGAGTTCTGAGAATGTTCACATTCTCCTTTCAGTGAAATAGGCAATCTAGTGAAGACATGGCAATTTACTCCAACTGCGAATCTGTTGCCATGTTCTCCTTCATTTTTAATGAAGTTCTGTGTCAATAAAGAAAATCATGTTTCAGATGATGCTGTGAGAGATGGCAGTAATAACCTTTCTCCCTCTCAGGCAGGGTAGGTTTCTTGGACCATATACAGAGAATTGCAATCTTTGAGTTCTCTGGTATGAGTTCTGCTTTCGCATGGAAGAGCTCAACCTACCTTAGGTGCAGAAGGGAAATTTGCTGTGAGGACAGGGAACAGCTTCTCTTTTTCCCAATTTCCAACGTCAGTACGTGTTAGTTGGGGCAGGGTGGTGGGAGGAGAGGTTTAGGAAAGCTAGCTGTTGCTTACAGGGGTCTATCATGCCCTGTTGAAAACCTTTCCAGATAGCTGACTGCCAGTGTGCTTTTATTGTTCTTCTGTCCTTGTGGCTGAGATGTTTGTGAGAGCTGTTTTTTGGCTCTATTTGTTGCTCTGTCAGGAAGAATCTGTTTTTTTGTTTGAGCCAAGAGAGTTCAGTTTCATTTTAGATGGAGGCTTAGGTTTAAGATAGAAAGGTGTGACTCCATGCATCTTTAATGTTAGAAGGGAATGCAAGAATGCCTAGTTAGTTGCAATTTGTGTCTGGTTTCCATGGCACTTGAAAGCCCTGCAGATCGACTTTCTGCAAGAGCTGAAGGTATCCTTCTTCTGTGCAGAAAGGATTAAGAGAATTCAGAGGGAGGCCAAGCAATGGGGCCACCAAAGGGATTAAGTTTTGAAATGTTATGTGGAGCTAGCAAAACGTATGCTGTGCAAGAGGGAAGGCCAGTGATTTCCTTAGCTTTTCAACCTTTTTCATTAAAGTTGTGTCCTGCCTCTCACAATTCATCCTCCTTCCTATGCCATTTGTCTGCTCTTCCTGGCAATAAGGACTCTTAAATACCATAAAAGAGCTTCTCTGTTTTATCTTCTCATTTTCAGAATGAATCATAAATGAATTTGGGATTCTTTTCTACCCAAGAGCTGAGATTTCTGCTTGCAGACTATTCATGAGAACTTAAAGTGAGTCAGCGATGGGAAATCTCAAAAGCTGACACTGATCGATTTATATTTTCAGATTCATAAACTGCAATGGGATAGAAGGTGTGCCTGAAGTGGTTTTGGTTTTCATTTCCATGTGGGAGAGGTTTTGGTGCTTTTATGTTTAACATATTTTAAATTAGGGCATAGTAATAAAAATTTGGAAGATCAAAATTTTCAATGTTTTCAGCTCCTTGGAAAAAAGAGTAAATTTAAACATGTTCAGTGTATGAATCAACCACTTCATGTCACTGAAAAAAACACATATATTATTTTATCCCCCAAAACTGGCTTTAAAGACACATAAGTAATTGTACAGATGTTTAGCATGAGCAGAACACTCCAGAATAACCAGAGAATTCAGGTAAAGGTGTCCCTTTGCAAAAGAAATCTATACTATAATGATTAACCCAAATGCAAAATCCCTCTGCTTTAAGATATATTGTTTTCCAAACTAGTATTTTTGTGCTTATACAGTCTTGCTGGGCATCTGTTCAACAAAATAATACCTAATGTTACTGCTCTTACTAGTTATTCAGAGTAAGGAGGATGTTCTTCCAAAGGATATTGCCATTTCTGTGAAAGACAATGGAAAAGTGTAACCTTGCAGTTAAGTCTGCAAAATGTCACATCTTTAAAATGAATTAATATTAATTTTCCATCTTAGGTTAAATGTACACAGTGAACTACCAGGGACCAGGCAGAACTGTCTTGGAACGTGCTGCTGGTTTCAATTCAGGCTTTCAGGCCAGTGGTCAAGGCCAGATCCTCAGCTGGTGTGAATCTTCATAGCTCCTCTGGGAAAGTACTAATTGTGATTTTGTTTTCAGTGTCCAGATTTCTGCAGCAGCTTTCTTTGTTTCATTCTGGTAGCATGTTCATAGTAAATTTTATAAGGTGTTGTTCTTAAGCTGTTTAGCAACAAAAGTTTATTAAGAGCTAGCAGATGAAATGGAAATTCTCAGCCTTTGCCTCTTACAGCAACTATTATTTTTTTCCCCAAATACAATTACATTGTCCTTAACTCGCAGGAAATCCCAGGAAAATAGTCTTTGGCATTTTGTAACTTCTGTACTTCAGTAATGGCTGCCACAACTATGACTAAGAGAATGATGATGAGAAGCTCTGCCTGGGCACTAATTAATAGTTATCTCCACTTTTTTAATCAATTAAGGT